TATGTATATATATATTATTATATATATTTATATATATATATATTTATCACATTTTCTTTATCCACTCATCAGTCATGGGCATTTAGTTTGATTCACATCTTTGGAATTGTGAATCGTGCTGCAATAAACAAATGAGCACAGGTGTTCTTTTATATGACTTCTTTTTCTTTGCGTAGATATGCAGTAGTGGATTCCTGAATTAAACGTAGATCTACATTTAGTTCTTGAGAAATCTTCCTGGACAGCCATTCCTGTAGAGAGAGGAGTGCCTTCCTCATGTGCATAGCACAAACATGCTGTGCTCCTCTAATCTATACATACCATGGAATAATAATCATAAAAAAGAATAAAATAATGTCATTTGCAGCAACTTGGATGGAACTAGAAATCATTATCTTGAGTGAAATAACTTAGGAATGGAAAACAAAATACTACATGTTCTCACTTATAAGTGGGAGCCAAGCTATGGTTACGTATGATCGTACAGAATGGTATAAAGAACATTGACTAAGAAGTGGGTAGGGTGGGAGGGATGTGAGGAGTGATAAATTACCTACTGGGTAATATGTACACTATTCAAGTGATGGGTACACTAAATGCCCAGACTTTACTACTATGCAACATAGTATGTAACAAAAAGCCACTTGTACCTACTAAATTATATAAATTTATTGAAAAAAATAATTTGGCTGTAAATAATGGTTTTATTTCTGGGTTCTCTATTCTGGTCTATGTTTTTATGCCAATACCATGCTGTTTTGATTGCTACAGCTTTGTGGAATATTTTAAAGTCAGGTAGGGTGAAGCTTTCAGCTTTGTTCTTGTTGCTCAGGATTGTTTTGGTTATTTGGGGTCTTTTGTTGTTCCACACAAATTATAGAATTTTAAAAAAATCTGTTAATCCTTTGTATTTATGTGATATAAGTCATAATGTCTTCTTTTTCATTTCTGATTTTATTTTCTTGGGTCTTTCTCTTTTTTACTTAGTCTAGCTAATGGTTAATTATTTTTGCTTATCTTTTCAAAAAACCAACTTTTCATTTTGTTGACCTTTCATAGTTTTTGTTTCAACATTTTTATTCTTGCTCTGATCTATGTTATATCTTTCCATATCCTAATTTTGGGTTTGGTTGCTTCTTGCCTTTCTTATTCCTTCTAATATTAGGTTGTTTATTTAACATTTTTATACATTTTTGATATAAGCATTTATTGCTATAAACTTTCCTTTTAATATTTCTTTTTATATTTCATAAATTTTAGTATATAATGTTCTATTTTCATTTTTTAAATAGACTTTACTCAATTAATCAGAGTCATTCTCTGGGAATATTATTAGTGAAATAAAACATAGCCTAAAATACTCTGCTAACTAAAGCCCAAAAATGTGGAATAGTGTATACTGAGTAAAACTAAAATATATGAAGCTTGTAGTTTGTAGAAGGCCATGGCACCAGCTATATGTACTGAAGGAGTGGAGGACAGAGGAAATAAGAAGCCCATGGGTAAAGAGAAAGAAGATTGAGAGAGGGTGAAAGAGACCAATTCTCAGTTGGCTAGTAGATTTTTAAAGCACAATATACCCCAAATGGAAGTCTTGATTCCCTACCTCTAAAACTGCTTCTCTCCAAATCTTTCCCAGTACCATCTGGGGAGCCAAAAATAAGTAAAAATTTTGCTTGTACAAAATAAATTTTTGTGCAAGCAAAACATAATAATTTCCTCAAATGTGGGAGGAGTGGTTTGTAGGAAACAATATGAAGAATAATAAAGCAATCTGACTCTTCATGATTTTGTGGAATGCTGATAATTACAATCACAGATAATCCTTGTGACAGTCAGTATTGCTTAGCAAATACTGCATTTGCTTCTTTACCTTAAATGGCCCCCTTTTAGTGAGGCAGGACCACACGACTAGTTCTAACTGAGTGCGCGGAAGCAGTACATATCCACATGTAATTTGGTAGTCTTTTATCCTTGCTATTGTGATTGAAGAGTTTGTATGTGCCAGACTGTACAGCTACAAAATGGTGGAGCCTCTTTAAACTTGGGTCCCTGAATGACTACATGGAGCAGGAGCCCTTGCCAATTTGTGTGAGTCAATATTGTGAACAATAAATAAAACTTTTATTTTGTTATTAACAAAATATTGATAGCAAATGTAACCTATTCTGACTAATCCAAGCCTACGAAGTGATTTTCATCATATTCTTTAATCTTTACAATAATTCTTTCAAGTGGGGGAATATTATTCTTTTTTTGATTTGAGGAAACTGATGTTCTGAGGGGGTAAGATATTTTTCTAATTTGCACAGTTATTAAATAGCAGAGAGGATACAAGTCTATTTTTATTCTAAATCCTATGCATTTCTGCAGCTATGCCTCTTGTCAACCAGATTTTATCTTTAAGAAACTGTGCAGAAGAATAAAATAAAGACAAAAGCAATGCTTTCTTACTCAACCCTTAGAGTTACCATGATATGAAAATGAAATAACAATGTTCTAAATGGTTTTTTCAGAAGCAGCAATTTATTTATTTATTCATAGCTTTATTGAAGTATAATTGATATGCCAAAAATTGCACATATTTTATATATAAAATTTGGTGAACTTGGACATATGCATACATATGATACCACCACTACAATCAAAGCAATAAACATATTCATCACCTCCAAAAGTTTCTTTGTGTCCTTTTGTCTTTTTTGTGTGTGTGGTAAGAAGAGTTAACATGGGATCTACTCTCTTAATAAAATTTTAAGTGTAAAATACCATATTGTTAACTATAGGAGCTATGTTGCACAGTAGATTTCTAGGACTTATTCATCTTATATAAATGTAACTTCATATCCATTGAAAAACAAGTCCTCATTTCTCCTTTCCTCCATCCCTTGGCAGCCACCATTCTATTTTGTTTCTATAAGTTTCAATATTTTAGATATCTCAGGTAGGTGGAATCATATTGCATTTGTCCTTCTGTGACTAACTTATTTCACTTAGCATAATGTTTTCCATGTTCATCCATGTTGTAGCAAATGGAATGATTTCCTTCTTAAGGCTGATTAATATTCCATTGTATGTATATACCAGATTTTGTTTATCCAGTTATATGTTGATGAATATTTGAATTGTTTCCATATCTAAGCTACTGTGAATAATGCTGCAATGAACATGGGGATGCAGATTTTTATTTGAGATCCTAATTTCAATTCTTTCAGATATAGTACCCATGAGTGAAATTGCTGAATCAAATGGTAGTTCTATTTTTAATTTTTTAAGGAAACTCCATAGTGTTTTCCATAGTGGTTGTATCATTTTACATTCTTACCTATAGTGTACAAGGGTTCCAATTTCTCTACATTCTTGCCAACATTAATCTTTTTTTTTTTTTGGTAATGGTCTTCCTACAGATATGAGGTAATATCTCATTGTGGTTTTGATTTGCATTTCCCATATGATTAGTGATGTTCAGCACCTTTCATATACCTGTTGGCCATTTGCAGGTCTTCTTTGGAGAAATATCTATTCAGTTCCCTTGTGTATTTTTAAATTGAATTATTTTTTTTTATAATGGAGTTGTAGGACTCCCTTATATATTTTAGATATTAGCTCCTTATCAAATATATAATTTGCAAATATTTTCTCCTATCCCATGGGTTGCCTTTTCACTCTGATGATTGTTTCCTTTGCTGTGATGAAGCTTTTGGGTTTGATGTAGTCCCACTTGTCAATTTTTTATTTTATTTTTTTGTCTATGCTTTTGGTGTCTTATTCAGAAATCATTGCCAAGACCTGTGTTTTCTTCTAGGAGTTTTATAGTTTCAGGTCTTATATTTAAATCTTTAATTCATTCTGAGTTCATTTTTTTATGTGCATAAGGTAGGGTTCAATTTTATTCTTTTGCATATGGATGTCCAGTTTTCCCAATACTATTTGTTGAAGAAACTATCTTTTCCACATTGCATATTCTTGATCTTTGCCTTGACAAAGATCAGTTGACTGTATATGTGTGAGTTTATTTATGGGCTGTCTATTATACTCCATTGATCTACATGTCTGTTTTTATCCCAGTAACATACTGTTTGAATTAGTATAGCTTTGTAACATGTTTTGAAATCAGAAAGTGTGATGCCTCCAGCTTACTCTTTTTTCCTCAAGATTGTTTTTGCAATTCTGGGTCTTTTATTGTTCCATATATCGTTTAAGATTTCTTTTCTATTTTTATAAGAAATGCCATTGGGATTTTGAGGGAAATAGTATTGAATCTGTGGATTGCCTTAGATAATATAGACATTTTAACAATATTAAGTCTATCAATCCGGAAATATGGAAAGTCTTTATATTTATTTGTATCTTCCTTCATTTTTTTTTATCAATGTCTAGTATCTTTCAGTGTACCAGAAGCAGCAATTTAGAGAAGAGACTATTAAGTGAAGCATTAGGACCCTGTCTTCAAGGAGTTCATTATCTGATGTGTGCAGTAATTACTTACTTCCCTAATCACAGAGGCTATTGTTACCTGAGAAGGTAATACCCATTACGACAATTTGCCACAGGTCTATCACTGCTGACTTTGCAGACCCTGGGAATAGGTCTATCGAGAGCAGTAATTGCCATGAGTCAGGCACTGTGTTTAGGAGGAGAACGCAGGAATCAGAGATCCAGAATCCAGAGAATTTTCACTTGAGGAGTGGATAGTATAGTCCTGAAGGTATCAGAAGCCATTTAGGAAGACATAAGAGGAAGAGTAGCCAAAAGAAAGCAACCTTTCCCCTACTACTCTAATCTGTACCAAATAGAAATTCCACTGGGTTCACAGGTTGTTTTCATTAACTTCCTCATAATGAGTTGACAGGTTACCAGTATCATAAAAGAAAAAAAAAAACAAAACCCTTATTCTCCCATTAGTACAATTCACAGCAATAATTTTCCACAAAGAATAAAAAGCAGTGTCCATGAGCACAGTGACAAAAGGATAAATAAGAGGCAGGGGGGAAACCCAAGAATGGTGAGTTAGGGAGTGGGAGGTTGGATGTGGTGATTAGCTTGTCTATGACTGTGGTACTTTTTAGCTCTGTGATGTCAGAGAGTAGCCCTGGAACCCAGCAAGTTTGGGAGGGTAAAAGAGGGAGAGGGGGAAGAAAAGAGAGGTGGAAGTCATCCAGACAAAGTCACCTGCCCACTTCCAGGTGCTGGAGAAAGCCACCTATTGTCCATTCTCAGGGGCAAGCACCATGTGGTGTTGGTGCCCATCAGAATATGCAGATTCTCAGGAGAAGATGGGTCAGGATGAAGAACCCTCACCTAAAGCTACATTCCTTGGGAACTGGAGTTTACCAATGACTTTTCTGAATGCAGTTTTTACATCTTTGTTCCTCAGACTGTAGATCAAGGGATTCAGCATAGGGATGATTACAGTGTAAAAGACAGAAACAATCTTGTCCTCCTCTGGGGATTTGTCTGAGTTACTTCTCTGATACATGAAGGCAAGTGTCCCAAAGAAGAGGACAACAGTGGTGAGGTGGGAGGTGCAGGTGGAGAAGGTCTTGGCTCGTGCCCCAGCAGACTTCACCCTCAGAATGGCTCTGATGATGAGCATGTAGGAGATGAGGATGATCATGACATTGGCCAGGAACATGAATTTTGCAAAAAAGAGAATGACAATCTCACTTTGTGTCATGCTGCTGCAGGCGAGCTTCAGCAGGGGTGGGAGGTCACAGAAGAAAAAGTTGATCTGATTGTCATCACAGAAGGAGAGGGTGAAGGTGCATGTGGTACGTAGGATGGCCCCCGACACCCCACAGATGTAGGCTCCAGCCAACAAGCCCCTGCAGGTGCCTGGAGTCACAGTCATGTTGTAGCGCAGTGGACTGCTAATGGCGACGACGCAGTCATAAGCCATCACCGCCAGCAGGTAACACTCTGTGCCCGCGCAGAGCGTGAAGAAAAAGAACTGGGCAGCACAGCGGCCATAGGAGATGACCGTTGTGTCTGTGGCCAGTGTGGCCAGGATCTGAGGGGTGATGACCGAGGCATAGCAGGCATCCAGCAGGGCGAGGTGGCTCAGGAAGAAGTACATCGGGGTGTGGAGCTGGACGTCCACTTGGATTAGAATAATCAGTCCCACATTCCCCAGAATGGTGACAAGATAGAAACTGAAGAACACCAAGAAGAGCAGAACCGCCAGTTCGGGGTGATCCGTGAAGCCCACAAGAATGAACTCGGTCACAGTGGTGAGATTCTTGTTGGCCATAGGCTCAAGGTAGCTAGCTGATGGGCCTGAAGAGAATGGAATTAGAGATTTCAGAATTGAGGGCCTTTGCTTTCTTAGTGTCAGATGTTAGGTAAATGTCTCAGATATTCTCTGCTCAGGGAGAGAAGAAAATATTTACCATTAAGAATCCACAACTGGCAGTTGCTATGGAGATTAGTCCCTTGCCTCCCTACCCCTCCTGAAATTGGACCTTAGGTCAGTGTTCGAATTCACTTGCTTATTGTCTGGAACTTTCTTTAAGACCAGAGAAGCTTAGACTATCAAGACTGACAGGGATCAATGCGGAGTCCCCCTCTTCTCTAATAGAATACCCCAGCCCATTGTCATCAAGCCCAGGTGCACACCACGGTGCCGCATGTGGCTCCTTGGGCCGTGTCTGTGTGACTCCGGGCAGGGCCATTCACACAAACTGTGGTGTGACTGGTACCTCCAGAGTTGTCAGATGCAGGACCCTCTTGGGAAAGCCAAATTGCTCTTTCCGTACCTTCTACACATCGGTACTATGCTTGGTTCTGCAAGGAGGGTAAAACCAATCTCCTCCAAGACAGATAGTGGTAATGCCCACTTTTATTATATCTAGTTTTCTCTCCTCCAAATCAAACATTCCCAGTTATTCCAACAATTCCTTGTGAGTACTTTTATAACCTATTTTTTCTCTCCTATGAGCCAGGTCATCACCTGTCTTGAATGTCTTTTCTTGAAGGCCCATGAGAGAAACTTATAGCAATATCCTAGTACCTAGTAGGATTTAGGCTGTCACAATTGGCCAGCCACAGCACCTTTTTTTTTTTTTTTTTTTTTTATCCCAGAACGGTCATAACGTTTTAGTCTAGCCCTTGGACATGTCCCGTTGGACTTGTGTAACTTTGCTCAGGCAGCCTGAGAACGGGCACTGTCACGCTCTGATTGGCCTCTTTTGCCTAGAGGGAAGCACTCCTGTGGCAGCCTCTCCTGGAGAGCAGTGGCTACCATTTGCAATGTCTCCACCACGCAAGTCAATGTTCGTCTCAGCGGGAAAATCTACATAATAAGAACGTTCCTGGAAACCCCAAGCTTGTCTGTCAGTTTCTGTGTCCACTTCTGTCTGACGTCCTGTGTTTGAATGTGGCATTATGAACAGGCAAGCATCTGGGTGACTGGTTTCTCTCTCCAGGGCTCAGGGGTCACTGTGCACATGGCGGTCAGGATGGGCTCAGTGAGGCCTGAGACTCCGGGAGTGGTGGCTCCCCACACTCCTCTCCTCCCTTGTGGAAAGTGCCCACAATCCTCCCCTGAGACCCAGAACCCTAGAGTTGGAAATGTGGTTCTGTGATTTTCCAGCTCTGCTCCTCAGAGCCTCGGCCTGCCTGAGCTGTCTCAAAGGGACACAGCGGTGGGGCGGGGAGGGGAGGCTGAGCAGGTGGGGAGCTGCCATCTCGGCCCCAGCTGCAGGCAAAGCAGCAATTCTTCTAACTCTTGCAAACAACCAGGTGCTTCATTTCATTTTGTTTGGGAATAGGGTTCCACTGTTAAAAAAAAAACCAAAAAACATTCGAATGCACTTGGTTTAGTACATTTTCTTCATTTGGCAGAAGAGAAAAATTGAAGCCCAGAGAAGAAGTAACTTTTACCCGATGTGTCAGAACGTATTCCCTTCCAGATTCATCTCTGTGGGGCCTCAACAATGGTGTGCCCATTTGGTGCCTCAGGAAAGACCCCAGAATAAAAAAAAAAAAAAAAAAAAACACAAACCAGAACGAACAAATCCACGATGGGGCTGCAGGGATGGGAGGATTGCTGCAGCACAGCCGGGGCACTCAGAGGCCAGGAAACAGCATTTCCCAAAGCAGTACCTTCCTAGAACATCCACTTCCACATTAGCTTCTCAAGAGCCTGTTGCAAATGTCTTTCTCTCTGACCTTACCAGCTGAGAAAACCTTCTCTGAGCGGGCTGGGCCCATTCTCTGTCCATGCTCTGAGCACTTGGTGATAGTGTGGTGTCCGGGGAGTAATAATATCTCTGTGCCAACTATTGTTCCCTGCACTCGACACATTTGTTCCTGGTTACCGCCACAGAAAGGCCTGTTTTATGGAAGTCACAATTCAAGGTTGGGGAAGATAAACAACTCATCTAAAAGGTCACACAGATAAAATTTAAGTTATGTTAAAAATTTCAGAAAGCACATTCAGTGGTCCCTGCAATATACATTATCGCCCAGCGTAATAGAGTTGTAGGATCTGCATTACCTTGTAGAGAGAGAGCTGGCCAGGAGTGCTCCCGAGAGGGACTTCTGTGAAGCACTGTTAGTATTTTCTCCTGTTTTCTGAGCAGGTCCAAGGAGATTTCTGTGAGGCTCTTAAATCCACAGAAAATGCAGTTACCTAATCTTCCTCTGGCTGATTTTGTGCGTATGCTGGAAACCCACCTTTGAACACACCGCCCGCAGGTAGCAGGGCCGGACCGTGTGTCCAGTTTTATGCAGTGTCGCTGGGTGGAATTCAGAGCTTGGGACCTCACACGGTCTCCAGGTGGCCGCCTGTTTTGCCTTGGTGCTCAAACAACCCGGTTGGGATGATCTTGTTTCTGAAGCACTGAGTTTTCGGATTCAATTGAATCCTCTGGTTGCTTGATCATCTCGTGGATATCACCTAAGATGTTGCTTATGTACGAAGGTGAGGATGATGCATGAAAGGCAGAGAGATGCTCTTTCTATACAATTCACCGTGATGGCTTGCCTGCCTTCGGTGGGGATCGTGTGAGCCCAGACTTCTCTGCAAATCGCAAATTACCGAGTGAGGCAGGCCTTCCCCTTTCCGAGAGAAGCCAGCTCCCTTCAGCTGGAGCTGACTGCAGGGTGGCTATATCCACTGCTCTTCATCTAGGTGAGGAAACAACGGGCCTGGGGGTTCCAAGGCTCAGGGGGGAAGTGGCAGACCTTGCATGACGTCATTTCCCTCGTTCCTCTGTGTGATCTGCAGGGAATGGGCGTTGTCATCTCTGTGCCACTTCCTTTAGCGCTGGAAAGAAACGGAGGGGGAATGCAGACCTATGTTTATGCGTTACAGATGAGGAAGCAGGCCCAGAGGGGTCGTGTGTCTCACCTGAGGTCACACAGCTTCTCAGCTGGAGGGTGTGTGGGGTGATCAGAGCTGTGGTGAAGGGAGACTGGGGCTATCCGGCTCCTGTGGGTTTGATTGGGTTGGTGTCACCTATTAGCCTGGTTTGCTCAAGGTTTCCGCTTCCTTCTAGACCCAGTTTGAATCGGTTTGAATTTCACCACTTCTAGGAAGCCTGACTGAAATCTTCGCAGGCAGTTCTTCAGAGGTCTGTACTGTGGCAGAGTCCCGAGCACCGGGCTTTCTTCAGTGTAACCACCTGCTTTCCAGAATGTTCTTTGGGATGAGTGTTCAGTCCCACAGGGCATTTGACTATGATATAAAGAAGGGTTGCTTTGAAACTTTGAAACTTGGAAATTGCCAAGAGAGTAGATTTTAACTGTTCTCACCACACAAAAAAAGATAAGTATGTGAGGGAATGTGTACGTTCATTAGCTTGATCTAGTAGTTCTACAAGGTATACATATATCAAAGCATATATACAGGTATACATATATCAAAACAAAGTGTTGTTCGCCACAAATATGTACACTTTTTATTTGTCAATTAAAAATAAATAAAAGGAAAGACTGCTTTAATGGTGGAAAATTAGTAACAACAGAGGAAGAAAAAGCTATTACCGAGGAGGAGCCTCTTAGCGCCCCTTGAACCCCGCCATGTTGTTGCCAAGGACGGCCCAGAAGCCATGACTCAGGCCTCCACGCTAGCCTAGGGGTGGGGCAGAGGTTCAGATATTTATTTGTTTGCATTTTTGTTGTGAAATATACATACAAAAAAGTACATAAAAACGGACACAGTTTGATATTAACACAAAATTATAAAACAAATATGCCCAGGCAATCACTATCAGACCAAGATAAGTAGAATACTTTCTTTCTCCATAAGTTCCTAGGAGGTCCTCCCCTTCACAATCCCCACTTGTTCCTATGTCTTGTTTCTATGCTGTAGTTATAATTGTTTACTTGTTTAATTTAAACCTTTGTCATCGGTGTATATATCCCTAACAAAATGACTTTGTTAAGCTTGTTTTTGAAAAAAAATATATAGTTGTTTTTAGTTGCTTTCTTTAATAAATGTTTATTTCTTTCTCATATTGAAGAATCCTTGGAGACAGGCAGCTCATATGGTGCATTAAAAATGATGCCAGGGCCTTAGGCATCTCTTTTTTTCTGCTCTGTTGCCTCCTTATAGTCTATAATAGCTGCCAGGTTTCCAGCCATCACATCCACACTCCAGGCCATAAGAATGAAAAACCGAAGGCAAACATTTTGAGTTTTGTGCTGTTGCAACATTGCTTTATGAACATCCTGTACCCATATCCTGGTGTGTGTGGGCAAGAGTTTCTCTAATGAGTATAGCTAGGTCACTGGAATAGCTGAGTCACTGTTCATTTGTATCTTTTATTTTTAAAGGATAATGCCAAACTGTTTTACAAAGTTGTTAAAACAATTTTTATGCTATCCATTTTTTATATCCTTGTCAACATGGTGGTGGCATACTTTCAAATTTTTGCTAATCTAGTGAGCATATTGTGGTTTTAAATTTGCATTTTTCCTGATTACAAATGAGAATAAGCATCTCTTCATAGGTTTAGTAACTATTTGGATATTCTCTACCTTGGTCAGCCTGCTTTTCTATTCTGAATCTCCTTTACATGTTCAGCTTCATGATGCCCATGGAAAATTTTTATCATTCTGACATAGGTCAGGTGCTTATTTCTGAATCAGTCAGTTGCCAGGTGTGTAGCGGGTCATTTTAACACAACAGTTGTTTCCATATGGAGGAACAAGGAAGATGACTTTTCATAAAATCAATGTTGGGTAGAGGGGTTCATTGGGCACCAAATAACATATTCAATAAAAAAATATATCCTTTTGTTATTCTTGTCTATGTTAGGTACAAATAAATGCACCCTCACCTCCTCAGTTAAATGCTCAAGTTGGTTTTATTTTGTTGTTCAAAGGATTGAGTTATTTATCTTCCTCAGTACACAGCCTTCATTGACTTTCATGATCATTGGTCTGTGATTTATTTCATTTTCATCAATGGCCATGGAATTGTGGCAAGGACCCAGGGTTGACATCAGAAAGTGAGGGAATGGGAATTGAAATATCTATATTGAACACCTGATTTGTGCTAGGATATTTCTTATTCATCATCTGATTTAATTTTTGTAATATCCTCTTGAATTAGGAATTGCCATACTTGTTTTAGACCTGAGAAAGTAAATCATTTACCCAAAGTCTTACATCGAATTAGTGATAGAATCAGGATTCAGATTCAAGCCTTACTCCATGCCTTGCCAACTGCTTTATACTCTGAGGATTCTTCAAATCATTGGGAAATGTTTCCGTAATTGCAAAATGGGAATTTTGTATTTAACCATGATTTTCCTATTTGGTTTATAGACTTGCCATGAGGCTCAAATGAAAATGTGCATGTACCATAAACCTTCTTTCAAAAGCGATTATTGAGAGCTCATCTAGACTAGACTTTGCACTTAGCAATGAAGAAAACACTCTGCTATCAAGGGGTTTGCAGTCTGGTGTAAGAGTTATGGTGACTTTCTCCTCTCACCAAATCTTTGTTAGAGAAAGTCATATGGAGTCCAATAATCTCGCTCTATCTGACTTTGCTGTTCCTGGAAACAGGATGCTTGGTGGGAGAGAACTGTTCATGAGACATGCAGTAGGGTGAGTGGAAGCAGTGCGCTGTGCCTTCCAGAAACTAGCAGGTTGGCCCTTGAGGAGACATTCCCAAAGATGAGATAGCTCAATTCGTTTGGAAGATATCAGAGTAACGTTAAAGTGGGAACCATAAAACCAGTGAGTCATCAAGCAGTAAGACAATTTGCAGATTCTGCTTCCCTGGATTGAGCAAGAAAAAAGATCCTTTAAGGTGAGAGGGACTGGAGTTTGTACAATGGTGAAACAGGGATCCCTTTTCTCAAACACCTCCTTCCCTTGGTTGGTTGGCAACAGAATCCAAACTTCACAGAACAAATCCCTTCATTAAAAGGATTTGTTCTGTAAACTGTAGATTCAGTCAAGAGGCTGCACTCAAGGACCCAGAAGGCTACATGTGGCCCCAAGGCTGCAGGTTCCTCACCCCTGGCTCTTGTCTTGTACAACACTCTCTGCTTATTGAGGTGATCAGTCCCTTGCATATTACAAGAAGAAAGGCCAATTAACACATCACAGGGCAAACCCAGATATGATCTTTGACTCGGAGAAATAGGACTGATAGGAGCAAAAGCAAAGGGAAAGGCTGGCAAGTCCAGGTAGGGGTGCAGAGAGCCTTGGTGTGGGATGGAATAAACTCAAGGCTCCTTGGACCTCCGAGATTCTGTAAGTTGTGTCACCAGACAGTAGCAGGAGACTGCTGGGTGCTAAAGAATGGACTGGAGCTGGGAGGGGGGTTAAAAAGAAAGTATCATGCAATTGCTGCAAACTAACTTCACTACATTTGCAGTTTTTCTTGTGTGCCTGGCGGTGCCTGTCTATCTTTTTTCTGTTTGTAGGTGTAGGTTGCCTAGAACGCTGGTGCTTAAATAGGATATATTGACATGGAAGAAAGTGTGCTAAAATGTGAGATCCTTTCACATGGATCTACATACTCTGGGACCCCTGGGATTTTCTAGTGACCTTTTTGAAGGCAGCTTTCACATCCTTGTTTCTCAAGCTGTAGATCAGAGGGTTGAGCATGGGGATGACCACTGTGTAGACGACGGACACCACCTTGTCTTCCCCCAGGGATTTGTCTGAGCCGCTCCGTAGATACATGAAGATGAGGGTCCCAAAGAAAAGGGCCACAGCAGTGAGGTGGGAGGCACATGTGGAGAAAGTCTTGGCCCTGCCACCTGCAGACTTCACCCTCAAAATGGACTTGATGATGAGCAGGTAGGAAATCAGGATGACCAAGGCATTGGCCAAAATCACAAAGTTGCCAAAGAAGACAATGACAATCTCCGTGTTTGTCGTGTCACTGCAGGCGAGCTTCAGCAGGGGTGGGAGGTCACAGAAGAAGAAGTCGATCTGATTGTCGTCACAGAAGGAGAGAGTGAAGGTGCACACGGTACGCAGGATGGCCCCTGACACCCCACAGGTGTAGGCTGCCACCACCAAACTCCAGCAGGTTCTGGGATTCATGGCCGCGGTGTAGAGCAGTGGGTTGCTGATAGCAACATAGCGGTCATAAGCCATCA